AGTAACATGTATAATCTTGTGTAGTACATTCAACTTGTTATGTTTAATGGATAGGTGATCACCCGTGAGCCTTGACCAGGTGTTTTGATGTTGCTCTTGATACATACATTTTGTAGACTGTACTACAAAAGTCAGTAGTCTGTAGTCTGTAGACTTCATTACTTTTCTCTGAACATTTAAAATTATATTCTGTTAGAAATATCTATACCAACATGCAGTCACGCAGGACTTGGTGGAACAGCTTCAATTGTCTGTGTTTAGACATCATGGCTTAGTAAATTGAAGGATGTAAGGTCTTAACCACAGACACAAGAAGCAATGGAGAAGCTCCTATTGGATTTAGATTAGGCTTTTAGTCAAAAGGAACGTAAACGTGGGGAAAGGAAAGTTGGAGAGGAGATGAGGGAGTGAGGTGTTTCTCTATATTTTAGTAATTTGTTTTAAAACCAGATGCCAGTTGGAAAAGTGACTGTATTGTTTCCAGTAAGAAACTGCTTAAGGCAGAAATCGAAGAGGAGGATGCAGGAGTCCTTTTTATGCTGCAGATGCTTAGATAAAACTACATGTCTTACCTGCACTAAAACATGTTCTAGGAAGGGTTGAAACAGATGATGTGTTGTGTGAGAGAAGCCAGACTTGCTCCTCCTCTGCCTCTGATGTCTGAGGGAGCATCAAACCATTTGTACTGTATGAATCCAGTGCAGTCACAGTGGGCATAGCTACAGACCCAGCTTTCTTTCTGTTCTGTATTTTAACTGCCTCTTTTAAAAGCCAGTAGATGAGTCATGCTTTTTCCTGTATTATTTTATCCCTGTTTAAACCAACAGTGTATTTTATGGTGAGAATCCTGTTCTCCTTTTCTCCTTCTTAGGAGAGGTTGCTGTCATCTATTTCTGGCCTCTGCAACTCCTGAACTTGCTCCCTTTATTTTTGTCATTGCGAATTGCTGCATTCAAGCTCTCTCTTCACAGTGACAAACTTCTTATTTTATTATAGCTCTGTAGAAATTATATTTTATTGTATCTCTGTAGAAAGTCTCTAGTTCTTAGCTGTTTTTATCCTGCCAGTTCCAGAACAAACTTTCTCTGAGGACCACTGCAGGTTTTTTGCCTATTATGAGTGCTTTCCTTTGTCTTTCTGATTTGTATGGATTCCCTTAATAACTTCTCATTTAAGTTCATGTTCACCTTCTCCCCATCCTCCTACTGAGAATTTATTCCGAGTCTATTAATAATGTGTTCTGGAGTATACTACTTGTTTACCTGTCTTCTGCATTCACTCGGTAGTCATGAACCTTGTTACATGCATCATGTTCAGATAAAAAGTTTCAGCATACATTTGATGTCCAGCTTAACCCTATGAACTTAACGCCCCCAGAAGACTTCATCATCTTTGTTTATCGATTTCTCCGATGTCCTCTTTGTGGGACTCAGGTTGCAGGGTGTGATGCTGTTCTTTGCCATAGGAAAACTGGTGCAAATATTAATCCATTGTAGTAAGCAAATTTATATTGCTCTTAATCTAATGCTTATGCAAAGATAATATCAACCAGACCTTAGGATTTGCTGAACTCAATCTGTGAGAAAATTGTATTTGAATGTGACTAGGATTTTTCACTAGATGTACCCCGATGGATATTAGATCAGCCTGACACTGCTCAGGATCATTTTGAGCTGTGTTTGCAGTGGCTGAAAAGGCAGTATTTAACAGAAATGCATGCTGTGCAGATGATATTGTCACAGATAATACAGATAAGCCTAGTAAACATAACACCCTCCCTCCAAAAAAAAACACCCACCAAAAAAAACAACAAACGGAAAACTGTGTAGTTTTCCAGCTGTCTCTTGAGTTCTAAATGTGAATATCTGGCCAAGTTGGAAGCTCCTCTTTTTGTGTGTGGGTGTGATGGATTTTTTTGTTATGCTCTGAGGTCTCTGTGCTTCTCATGCTTGAAGTGGAAAATAAACTTTTGCCACTAGCATTTGCTCAGTAAAAAATCTACTGAAGTACCTTACCTACTGAGTGAGTTGCATTTTAGTACTAATACAGAATCACTGGCTTTTAATAAATATTGTTAGGCAAATTATTGTACTGTCAAATATTGTTTTCAAATATTCTAATTTCAGATATTATTATGGGGGTAATGGTTTTAAACTGGAAAAGGGTAGATTTAAGTTGGATATTAGGAAGAAGCTCTTCAATATGAGAGTGTAGATCACTGGAACAGGTTGCCCAGGGAGGCGGTGAAGGCCCCATCCCTGGAGGTATTGAAGGTCCGGCTTGATGGGGCTCTGAGCAACCTGATCTGGTAACATTGTCCCTGCTTACTGCAGGGGGGTTGAACTGGATGATCTTTAAAGATCCCTTCCAACCCAATACATCCTGTGATTCTTGAAAACACTGAGTATTTCTTAAAGCGTGTTATTTCTTTCCAGCTGTGCATTGTATTTCACAGGCTTTTTTTTTTTCTTAACCCCCCCAATTCTGTTGTGCCAACTGCAGTATTCTTGGAAGCTGGTACACCCAACTGACAAATATTCTAACAAAGATTGTCCTGACAATGCAGAAGAGTATGAAAGAGCAACAAGATACAATTATACTAGTGAGGAGAAGTTTGCTTTGGTTGAGGTAAGATAAATAATTTATTACAGGGATTTTCCAAAGATTAACTCTCTACAAAAGAGAACGTTCTCTATAAGCATTTTCTATACCCTGTGCAAAAAGACAGCATGCTCTGTGTTGATTCTGAAAGAGCATGTTTTTCTCCATTCAGTCTATAGGAGGAGCACAGGAAAACTATCCTTTATCTTTTGGGACTTGTTAATTCCTGTTTTACCATTTTCTGTATTTAAAAAAGGACTTTTGGAACAATTATACAAACAAAATAAGAAAAGTACACTTTGTTTTTTTTGCAGGTGATTGCCATGATCAAAGGTCTTCAGGTGCTGATGGGCAGGATGGAAAGTGTTTTCAATCATGCCATTCGCCATACCATTTATGCGGCTCTTCAAGACTTTGCCCAGGTCACGCTCAGAGAGCCACTAAGACAAGCTATTAAAAAGAAGAAAAATGTCATTCAGAGGTAACATTCTTGTATTCACCTTCTCCTGTATTCCTCCAAGTCTTACTAAATCTGTTCTAAAATTCCACAGCTGTTAAATTTTGCCACTTACAGTCTGTATTTCTGTACTAGCATGTCTGGTATTCAACGTTAGCTTGGTTGAATATGTATTGGAAGTTGAAGAAGTCCAGAGTAGAAAATGGATAGCTGCCAACACTGGCTACAGGAAGAGTCCAGGCTGTCTTGAGCTACTTAGGACTACCACAGGAAGTCTTGTGTTGTTTGTAATTTATATTTATTCTAAGGAAAGATAAGTACTGTAATAATGAAAGCAAGACTAGTATTTTTATTCTGAAGAAAGGTGTTACTGTCCACCTTCCTTGTGATTCCAGTGTTTCCTCTCCTTCCATCTCATGTTTACATGCCACCGCATTCTGCCCTCGTAGTGTCCTGCCTTTTTTCTCAGCTTCTACTGCTTTTGGCTTTCTAGCCTCACACTTCTCTTCGAAGTGCTCTGTCTGCCCACACTGATTGGTGGCATTTCCCAGCCTTATTTCTTTTGTCGCTAATTCTTTGCTTTTGATCTTGACTTGTTTACCATTTGTTTACTCCCATGTTTCATTGCAAAGCTTTTAGAGGTGAAAGTCTTTGGCTGTTGCTAAATGCTGACTGCCACAGAAATACCATCATAAGCTAAAAATAAACAAATTATTCCAAATTACCAGGTTTGCAAGGAGAGGCTTTTTGTCTTTGATGAAATAAGGAACTATTACTTTCATACCTGCTCGGATCTGGGAGAAGACATTTGCTCTATCATTCAGCATGCCACAGGGTATGGCAGGCTGTGTTTCTGACAGGTATCTGAAATCCAGTTCATTACTTGGGGTTAGAAGTATGAGGCTGTTTGTGTAAATCCCAGCTGAATTCTGGAGTTCTGCTGGAAGCAGGAATTCCACTGTTTTTTGTTTCAAGCCCAAATTGTCTCTTTTTAGTTTGGTTAATGATCTGCTTTGGTTCGATTGAATAATCTGCTATTTGTGGTTTAGGAGAACAAAATGGCTCGATGCGCTTGCTAAGGATCCTAGAGGTGAATTCTTGACAAGTGACTTTTGTCTCTGGTGAACCAGTTTCAGGGATCAGCTTTCTTCAGACAGAGGAGAAGGGCTCTGGACTACCCTTTCTGATGAACAGTGTGGAGTGGTTGTTTCATGGATGTGGCATTTGTGAAGTTGTTGGCAAAGTCATTTGCAGTTGCTCTGAGTTAGCCCAAGCTCCCGAATGCTGTTGCAAATTTTCTGTGCTTGTGGAAGAGTGCTTTAAAAAATAAAATTATCTCCTCGATGCATGCTGATCTGAAGTGGTGTAAATTGTGTTCAGTGTTTTGCAGGCCATCAGAAAGACAGTCTGTGACTGGGAGGCTGGTCACGAGCCGTTCAATGACCCAGCACTGCGGGGAGAGAAGGACCCCAAAAGTGGTTTTGACATCAAGGTCCCAAGGCGTGCAGTGGGACCCTCCAGCACTCAGGTATTTTCCTGTCTGGTGGTTGTGGTATCTGTCAACAATTATTGCATGAGATGATTTCTCTCTGGTGTGAACTATTTAAAAATTGCAGGTTTTGTTTTGAATGCTAAAAATATACTTTGATAAGATTTATATTTACAAAATTATATATACTTAACCAAAATCCTCTGTCTGGGTTGCTGTCACTTTCTATTCTGATGAATAATTTTTCCAAGTGTTCAATCTCTTTAATTTGACTTCCTGAGAAAAATATTTTCTCATTGAGCTTCTAATTTTTTTAATAATATTTTTGAACTATGTGAATTATTTATTGACTGACTCCCACCCCAGTATGGCTGGTGGATTTTTTTTTAAGTCCCACTATTCAATAGATGTCTATATTGTTTTTAAATATGTTGAAAATATAAAGGATTTCCTGTAAAATATAGGAGGGTATTTTACTTTTGACAAAGAACCCTCTTACTCTTCAGTAATGAATGATAAAACTGCTCCCTGAAATCTATTTAATCTGCTGCCACTAAAACAAGATGTATTTCAAGTGTGTTTTCTGTGGAAGTCATTGAAATCCCATACCTATGGGAAATCTGACATGAAATCCCTTGCTCGTTCTTATTACCTCCATATAATTCTCTTTTTTATTTTCCTTGTGGACTTGTTTGGAGAGTGTATGGTCTAGTATTCATAGCTCATCTGAGAAAATGAGGTACTGAGCACTTAGGGTGAAAAATTGAAGGCAACTGTGGTTTGTAAGGACAATTTTTAATACCTAAAATCTTCAGGGAAGAGAGCAGGTATGGATAATAGTCTTGGGTAATAGAAAGTTGCTTAAATTGTGGTTAGATAGGTTTAATGAAGATTTTGTTTTGGGAATTGAGAAAAAATGTTTTGATTTCTAGTTTTCTGGGGGTGGGGAGGGGGGGGAGGAATAAATATTGTCACCAGTGTACTGCTTCTCTGCTTGGTATGTTGAAGGGCTTTGTTTCACTGGCTGCAACAGGCTGTACCCAGTTCTGTCTGCTTTTTTCATTCTTGGGCTGGCACACTTGTCTGTCTTGGCTGACAGGAGGACGAGAGGTCAAATATATCAATTTTAGATAGGTTTTTCTCAGTTTCATGCAGTTCTAAAATGGCTGTGTGTGAATTGGTAATACTTGGAAACCTTTGTGAAATCATTTGAGAAGCTAATGGCTCTGAGCATCCTCTGAAATGAATGGGAACCTCTCCCTTCGCTTGAGGGAGCACCAGATTGCACTGATTATTCTGAAGGAAAAACCCTTTCTGTATGTCCTCCTCTGCATGCTTACTGTGCTGCTTTCCATTTTTAACAAACTAACACGTTTTCTCTGCTTCTGTTTCCCCTTCCTTATTTACCCATGTGTTTTTATTAACGGATTCTCTCTCCCCTGCCTGCCCCTGTCTGTTGGTTTTTAGCTCTACATGGTTCGCACTATGACAGAGTCCTTAAACTCTGCTGAGCTGTTGAAGCAGCTCAAGTCTCTGGGACTGGAAAAGCTATTGCATGTGACACACAAGTTTCTGAGGCAGTCCTACACCTATCCGCCTCTTTTAAACTTTGGTGGTAAGACATTACTTATTACTTTTACTCTTGTGGTGATGTGAACTGTTCCACTGCAAATGGTCTGCGGCTGAGTGTCAGTGGAGGTCCCCTTGGCATGGGTAGGCATTTGTGCTGGTGTGTAGGCTAGCGTTGCATCTGGTCCTGTCGCCTGAAAGGCTTGTGCCCACACGGTGCCAGTTTTCAGTTTGAAGTGGAGCAGTCGCTTACTGATAGTAATTCTCAGTGTTGCTCAACTAATGTACCATGTGTATTTTCCTTTTTTCCCCCCCTTTCCACCACAATTGTTTCCTTTAATGATACAGCTTTACATGGTGAGAACTATGTTAGAGTCCCTCATTGCTGACAAAAGTGGTTCCAAGAAAACCTTGAGAAGTAGCCTTGAGGGGCCCACCATATTGGACATAGAAAAATTCCATCGCGAGTCTTTCTTCTACACTCATTTGATAAATTTCAGTGGTAAGATATGTAGATGATCAGTGTCCAGCTTAGCATGTCCTAACACCTCTAACACGACCTGGAAAATGTTTCCGATTGCCTAAGCCAACTTACCTTTTGGCTTATCAAAAGCCTTCGTCTGTCCTAACTTTTTCTGAGTTGTGATATTCGGTATTGTGGTGGGATTTTTATTTTGACTTGTTATACATTTGTTTACAATGCATCAAATTTCATATTGTTACCTCCCTTTTCTATTCTTTTTATGTATGTATTTATATAAACAAGGGACAGATAAGCCTATACACATTGAAATTTAAAAAAGGAAGTCATTTTTGTGTTTTGGGGTTTTGGGGATTTTTGTTTTTGTTTTAAGTACAGAGGAAACAAATTCTCTTGTGGTAAATTTGATGTCATTTCACTACTCTTACTATTCAGTTAATTGTAATCGGAAACATGCTGTCCTAAAGAATTCACCTACTGACATTGAATGTATCCGGTCTTTGTCATCACCATGCTGTGTTGTCTTTCATTTTTGTTTTGCTGCCGGACTCCTTTACCCTCAGAGAAGAGGGAGCCATAATGCTTTGGGGGAACAGCACTTCAAAAGGTCTTCAGAAGATCTTAACGTAAAAAGCTCATTCCCATTTTGGTCCTCAAGCCTTCTGCAAAAAAAAAAGGCTTGTGCCGAGTGTTTTCTGGAGAGGTGGGAAGCCCACCTCTGCACCCTTGACAGCGGCCTTAGAAACTTTTTGTTTTAGTCCCTCCTTCATGTGTCTGTCTGTCATTTCCTGCCCATCTAATCAACAGGAACATGTGGAGTGATTCAGTCCTCCAGAATGAGAGATGGTACTGGTGGATCCAGTACAATTTTGTCTCCTTTGTCTGCTGTTCAGTGTATGGCTTTCTCAGCCCCTAACTTAGAAATTAAACTAGAAATCCCCCTTTACTGGTGTACATAGTTTTTCTGTTTGACTGGTAGTCTGGTCTGCTTCCATGCTTTTTTCTGTAATGAGGCACCGCTTTGGGGGCCAAGGTGGAGTTCAAAACTCTGAAAAAGTCACGGGCTTTACATTTTAAATTTGGTTTACATTTCTGGCCTATATATAGCTCTAGTGACTCACGCTGCTTTTTTTGTTTCACATTTGCATCACCAGAGTCACAGTTGTATTGTTCCTGATGTATTTCTGTAAGAAGTATAATTCTTCCTTATTTATTCTGAAAGAAACCCTGCAGCAATGCTGTGATCTGTCCCAGCTGTGGTTCAGGGAATTCTTCTTAGAGCTGACCATGGGCAGAAGAATCCAGTTTCCCATTGAGATGTCCATGCCTTGGATTCTGACGGACCATATTTTGGAGACCAAAGAGGCATCAATGATGGAGTAAGACCAACTTGTGCTCTTCCACTGAATGATTATTCTTAATGATTGCAATTCCTTATTATAATGTTACTGCTTTAATTGGTTTTAACAAGCAGTCACTGAGAAGGTATTCTAAACCTTTATTAAATCTTCCTCTTACATTTGCTAGTTTTCAGCTTTGCAAAGTTTTCTTTTAGAAGTGAATAACTGAAACATGAAACCTGTCATATAAGTATCATTGCACCAGCCAAATATGTTGTTCCCTGAGCAGGTTCTCCTTCCTTATTCCTCAAAGATGTCAAATATAATGCATAGTGGTAGAAGCATAGTTCCACTTTGATGGAAAGCTACATCTAGGAAACAAGTTTCAGACTGTAAAATTATCTATACAAATTCTTGAACTAAAAAAAGGCTTTCTTAAAGGAAAATGTGTGATTCCTTTTATATAAATTCAAACCAGGAAAATGATCCTGTTTGCATGAACCACAAGTAGACTACAGTATTGACTGGCTTATAATGTGTTGACTGCCCCATCCTGAAGAATCATAATTTCTATAGATGTGTAATTTTTTTTTTCTCTTCTTTTTCATTCAGGTATGTTCTGTATTCTTTGGACCTTTATAATGACAGCGCTCATTATGCACTTACTAAATTTAAGAAGCAGTTCCTCTATGATGAGATTGAGGCAGAGGTAAAGTAATTTTACCTACTGGAGAAAAATAAACTTTATTGGAATGTGAAAATGATGCTAAAGGCCAAGACCTATTAAAAGAGATTCAGAACAGTTGGAGATAATAAACAAAACTGAGAATAAAGATCAGAAGATGGGTACTGGTTGGGTGGTATGTTGAAAGGAAGCCTGTAGACCTGTGCAAAATGCCTTATGTTAATGCTGAAGACTGAATGTCATCTCTTCTAGTGCTGGGAAATTTGGATGCATTAACATTTTTAATTATGTTTGATAAACAGTGGGAGATCTTGGATAAGGTCTTTTAGTTTTATGTAGCTCTAAATGCACTTTTCTTTTTTTCCCCCAAGGTAAACCTCTGTTTTGACCAATTTGTCTACAAGCTGGCAGACCAAATATTTGCGTACTACAAGGCAATGGCTGGCAGGTAGCTGTTCCAGTAGCGAGAACTTTTATTCATGCTTTTCTGCTCTGCTTTGCTCTCTAATATTTAAGCATTTTCTTCCTTTCTTAATAGCTTTCTTTTGGATAAGAGATTACGTTCAGAATGCAAGAATCAGGGAGCAACCATTCAGTTGCTACAGTCCAACCGCTATGAGACGCTGCTGAAACAAAGACACGTCCAAGTGAGTTAATTCACACTCTGCTGTATTCGAGTTCCTTGACAGTTTTGTAATGGTGTTGATTTATGTAGCTGTATAAAACTCTTTCTGTGCTTTATGTTCTGTCATCTAAGTGGCATAACTGACATTTGAGATCAGTTTTTTTGTCATATGAAGGAGTAAATTAAGGGAAAAAAATGTAAAAGGTTCTGGTTTAATGCAAATGTCTGTTGCAGTTAGGCAAAGCAGCCAAATAGGAATGTCATGTGTGGTAGCGTTGTCTTCCTAGTAATGTCTTTCACCAGTTTTCAATATGTTGTTGGCACAGCGTCATGGAAGCATAAAATGCCGATATAAATACTTAGATGTAAATGCAACATGTAATTTTCCTACTTTTTATGAGAATTGGGATGAAAGTTGTAGTATCTCATATAAATCTCATGGATTTATAAATTTTGTCTGTCTGCTGTGTGTCTGAGTGTTTGAAATGCGACTTCACCATATGAGAGTCTGTTAATCTGTGGAGTCTCATAGTCCCTGTACAGCTTGTCTCGTAATTTGGCTTTCAGTTCAAACCTTCATAGCATTTTTTTTCTTTAGCTTCTTGGTAGGTCAATAGACCTGAACCGACTGATCACTCAGCGAATCTCAGCAGCCATGTACAGGTCAATGGAACTGGCAATTGGTCGGTTTGAGAGTGAGGATTTGACTTCCATTGTGGTGAGTGTTGTGTTGCAGTTGTGCCAGAGCACTAACACTGCAGTTGGGATCTAGCTGCTAGTTTTGTTTTGTTTTGCTTTGTTTTGTTTTAATTTATTTTAATTTAGTTTAATTTAATTTTTATTTTTTGTCTATCATTCTTAATGCAAATAAATCTGTCCTCTTTTTTTTTCCCCCTCATTATAAATCTGTATTTGTTTTTTCATGGCAGAAGCAAAAAAAGTTTTCTCCAACTTTGCTAAAAGTCCTCTGAGTATTCTCTCAGCAAATAGTTGTACAGTTATTCCTGAAAGTAGAAGAGGCTGAATGACTAACAGGGAAACATTTTTTTATCCTAAACCTTAGTTAAATATATAAAAATACAAAATAATTTAAGCAGTCTTATTAGAAAAATAACCTTAGAGAAGTTTTCTCTCTAATGTTTTGTTTTAATTCTTCTGTAAGTGTGAAATCTTACAACGCTATGAAGTTTGTCTGGTTTACTTAGTCTAGATTGACAAAGCCTCTTACCAGAGATGCAATTTAGTCTTGCAAAAAGCATTCTTCTAGTCACCTCCAGCTGCATCATAAATTACACTGGCAAATCCTCTGTTGCCATAGTAGTGTACTTTGGACTTTATTAATTCTGATGTGCTGTGATTTTTTTTTTTCCCCTCATGCCTTAACCTGCATCTGCATTCAAACAGAGCTTTGGCCTGACCTGACACGGTATCCTGGAGCACGCTGCCTTACGTGAAACTGTGCAAGTCCCAGTCCTGTAAAGACTGAGTACCTTGTTCTTTCCTTGCCCAGGAAAGAAATAAACCTGCTGCAACTGAGGGCCTTGGGAAGAAGCTGTGAACATCACCTATAGAGAAGGCATATACTATGAGCCATGAGGAAACAAGGAAAATGAGCATTCTTGTGATTTAAATTTTTGTGAATGCCCATTTCTGTCCCTGCTCATGGATAAGTTTCAGACAAAAACGAAACAGCCTTGTGTCTGGTAGATTCAAAATTAGTTTATTTACCCAGGCAGCTTGGCTTTGTAGTGTGACAAAAATAGGTTTTTTGTGGAGGAACAAGATCTGACTTGTGCCTGTGGAAGAAGAGCATCTGTGCAATATTGAGGTGTCTTTTTGAGTCAGTTTCCTGATTAAAATGCTGAAAAACAAATCTTATTTCCAGACAGCATGAATTTGACAAGTAAACATGCAGTCAACAAGAAAAATATCAGACACATTCAGTTCTGCTGGAATGAAAAAAAAAATTTAAATTATGCAAGAAAGTTTGACATAGGTTTTTCCATAGTTTTTTACCAGTGAGATTTTGTCATGCAGTTAACTACCTTGATTTCACTTCATTCTTTATTGAAGATAAATCAAATACTGAGGCCTTAGAGCGTCTTGACTTTTCAGTGCTTGGTGTTATGACCTTTGAATTATTGGCATGCAGTTTTTCTTTGTTATTAGCAGGATTTTCTTAGTGACTAGGTGAACAGAAACTACTGATGATGTGTTTCTTAGGTCACAGGTTCTCACTCTTGAGTTGGAAAGCAGCAGGGCTAAGGTCCATGCACTGTGGTTCTTTTTTTCTCTTTTTTTTTTTTTTGTTTTATGCAAAATAATTTCTGTTTAAGACTGCTTAGTTTCTTCAGTGAGAAACTGATGGTAATAGCTTAACTAATCAGTAATTTCTGCTGTTTTTCAAGCTAAATAAATTATGTGAAGGTACTTAAAAGATTGAGATATTTTTTTCCCTCAGTTTGAATTCAATACTGTAATAATAATCCTACTGGTTCTTTCTCCTTGAAGTAACTGTTACTCATAGATTTGAAAATCCTTTGAAACATGGAGCAATTAAATCTGACAGCACTGTATGGGAAGATCACCAGCAGTTTGATGCACAACCAAACAAAGCCACTGCGCTTACCTTCACTAGGTCATTGCACAACAATCTTTAAAAGCAATGCTTGGGTTTTTCTGGAGTGAGAGGTTGTGTTTTTTGTATTTGTTTTTTTCAGTGTCTCATGTTAGAGATGGACTTCCTTTTCCCTTTTTCTTCTTTTCTTGAAAGTGCCAGAAACCATAGTAGGAATTTCATTTCAAGAGGAGAAACATTATGAAAGGCAGTGCTTAAATATAGCTATGTAGTCTTCAGCTAGTGATTTTGTGGATACCTTCACAACATTTGTAAGTGTCTGGTCTGGTCTTTCATTGCATCTTAGTACACTCTTCATTGGAGTAAGCCATGAGAAGGATTTATGGTAAAGTGATGTTATCCCTACCAGTACTACTACAACAGGTAGTTCACCAGTTGTTCTACTGAGCAGGAATCACTTTGTGATAGCTTGTAAGGTAGGAAATGCAGAAGATGCCTCTTGGCCTATATCTGACCCTATTTAAATGTTGGAGTTTTAACTTTTGCTCAGTGGAAGAAGAGTTGGCACACATCTGTGTTTGAGACCCATCTGCAGTGTGGGTCTTTTTTAATGAATACCCTTAAAGTGTTGGAAGGTTTTGGTGGGAGATAGTTCTGAAACAATCTCAAGAGCACTGATTCTTTCCAGCTCTTATTAAAGTAAGAGACTGGAGGAGAGTCAATTGTTCATTCTGACTTTCCTAGTCTTCTATTCAGTCAAGGTTATTTGTGTACTTTGTTGAGTTTCTCCACTTTATTAAATGCACTACTCATTTTCTTTCCTCTTGTGTTTTGTAGGAGCTGGATGGCTTGATAGAGATAAACAAAATGACTCACAAGCTTCTGAGTAGATACATGACCTTGGACAGCTTTGATGCCATGTTCAGAGAAGCCAATCACAATGTGTCAGCCCCTTACGGAAGAATCACTCTTCACGTCTTTTGGGAACTCAATTATGATTTCCTTCCAAACTACTGCTACAACGGATCCACTAACAGGTTAGCTTGGCAGCCTTTTGTTTGCAGCAGTTCTTCCACCACCCTCCTGCAACTTGTTTCCTAGCAAATGCTGACAGGTCCATCTCCATTCATTTTGTGTGTTTTCCACTTCTGGTGCTTTACTTGAAATGGAGCAGCATGAGTCATTTTATGAAGTACTGTCAGATGTATGAAAGCCTGTTATTTGTCCACCATAGAAGTCAAATTTAACCGCAGCATCCAAATTCTGACATTTTAATGACTTAGCTATGATACGCATGAAAAATAAAGCGTGTCCAAAAATACTGCAAAGTGCGTATTGGGAAGATATTTTGGTAAACAGAATCCTCACCTGTGAGACAATGCAAATAAAATTACTTTCCAGATTTTGCATTAATGTGGAGAAAAGGATTGTTTACTGGAGAAGGGAAGAGTCTTAAAGAGCCTTTAACGAGAGTGAGTAATGGGCATAGAAAGAGGAAGAAAGTATCTAAAGTTTTGAATGAGTGGAAGGCGCAGTGCTTGGAACTTCACATTTCTGAGCTTCCTGCTTGTGTGCTGTTTTTAGGACTTTTAGTGCTTTTACTTAGCCTTTACTTAGGTTTTGGTTAAAGCACTTTGAAGTGCTTTTACAGACAGTAAAGTCATACTGAATGTTGAGCTGTAGGAAGAGGAGGAAGTCATTCTCATCTTTCGCTGTCCCCTTTGAGAGCTTTCTCTTTCTGACATGTTCCATGGTGGTTATGTTACATTTTAGATCCAAGAAGGGAGAGTTGTTTTGTGGTTAAGTTTTGGCTAAGAGACTTCTGCTACATGAATCTGCCTACATAGGAGAGGTGAATGTATTTCCGAGGAAGCTACTGTCCAGTTGATGTATGTGGAGATCAGTATTGGAATATTCAGTGTAATGTATTAAAAATCATAAAAGCATAATGTTAAAAGAAAATATTGATGAAATGCTGATCCTTAACCTATCAGCTTTCATGAAAAACAGTTAATTGGTCCTATAACAATTCAGTCTGTGCTCCTCCTGGCTCTTAAGGACTGCCATGCTGCAGACCACAGTCCTTGGGAAGCAAGCATAGAGTGCCAAAGGACACTGGCAGGATCCTGTAGGACTGCTGCTTGTCTGATGAAAGACTGTACGCACAAATTGAGTCAGGCTGATCCTCAAGCTTGTCGGGTAATTAATTCAGGATAATTAATTTAAGACATGATAAAGGGAGCCAGATCTTAGGCAGTATGTGTACCATGTGTCCAATTTCATCACTGAATTGCTTTGGTTTCAGTCAAAAACAGCATGTGGAGAGAATTAATGCGTGTTACACAAGCTATATGGTGCCCATTGATATTTTTGCTAGGAGAGGGAACAGGGAGTTTCTAGCCCATTTATGGTTTTTAAGCACATTGATTCTGTCTATTGCTGCCTTGCTGTCAGCATGAACTTTGCATTAATGAGCTCTCTCTGCATTCAGCTGTACTGGTTATTGTGAGCAAATGCAAGAGTACACAGTGAGGAGCTCTGTGAGAGCTGCTAGTTTAATTCTGGACTCTTGATAGGTAATGTCTTGCATGAAAGCTGTGTGTAAACAAGGGAAGAAAACTAACAACAAGAGGCTGGGAGAAAGAGAAGTGTGGTGAAAAGGAGAGATGTTGCTCGGTGGTGAGGGGTTGGAGGTAGAGCTCCCAGGAAATGCCTAATACCTGTGGCTTGCCTCTCATTAATTTGACCACAGCCTAGGTGTAAGGACCCTTCTTTCAAAGTTAGTTTTCATCAGATTAATTTGTATCCAGTACCTTTTGAACCTCTTTTCCCAAGAATGCTTGAACGTGATCATTTCAAATATTTGTAAAAGAGTGTTTAGGAACCCCGCAGGTTTGACTAAAGGCGAAGGCTATTCACGAAGTATTGAAACATGATGCGTGTTTAATTATTTGGGACTTAATATTTTTTTATATATCTGATAATGTACTGAGATTAAACAGTGAAGCTGCTATTAAAAGATTTCGCAATTTAATAATTGCAGTTGCCAGTTTTTTGCAATTTAGTATCATTAGCGCTGGCCAGCTGCACAGCCGTGTCTAGACTGCGCAACAGTTTGTGGAGAAGGAATGGGGAGGTGAGCGAGGGGACCTCTGCACATGAGCATTAGCAGTGAAATTCAGAGGTGCTTTTAATCCACCTGTTGTCGATCAGGAAAGAAAGAGAACAAACTGAGCACATGAACTGCAGGTGAGGTCAAAGCCCTCTCTAGTCCAGTGTCCTGATGCCAGCAGCAGCCTTGCAGAGGCTGAGTATGAGAACGCGAGGCTTGTGGTGATTTTTCTCCCCAGCGGCTGAGGGAGCTGGGTCTCTTTAGTTTGCAGAAGAGGAGACTGAGGGGAGACCTCATTCATGTTTATAAATATTTAAAGGGTGAGTGTCACGAGGATGGAGCCAGGCTCTTCTCGGTGACAAACAATGATAGGACAAGGGGTAATGGGCACAAGCTGGAACACAGGAGGTTCCACTTCAATTTGAGAAGAAACTTCTTCTCAGTGAGGGTGACAGAGCACTGGAACAGGCTGCCCAGAGAGGTTGTGGAGTCTCCTTCTCTGGAGACATTCAAAACCCGCCTGGACGCCTTCCTGTGTAACCTCATCTAGGTGTTCCTGCTCCAGCAGGGGGATTGGACTAGATGATCTTTTGAGGTCCCTTCCAATCCCTAATGTTCTGTGATTCTGTGATTCTGTGAAACATGCCAGCCTCTAGCAATGACCAGGTGTTTCTGTAAATCAAAACTGGTGGGATGTTAGTGCATTTCTAGCCCTTTACAAGTAGATTTTTTTTCTCCATTGCTTTGTCCAGTCCTTCTTTTAAAGCTATGTAAGGTTCTGGTGTTCGTGATGTGCTGTAGCAAGGAGTCTGCAGTGAAGCTGTGCACTGCATGAAAAAGTATGCCTTTTAGTTTGCTCTCAAGCTGTTGCCTGCCAGTTCTTATCCTGAAAGAGGCCATAAACAGCCATTTCCCACTTCTTGTCTTTTCTGTGCTGCTTGGTTTGTTGTTTTTTTTTGTTTTTTTTTGTTTTTTTTTTTATAAGAGCCCTCTCTTATGTTGATCCTCAGTTCTATGTTTTTCCAAGCCAAAGGTCTTTCCACACCAGGAATCTTTGGCATGCTTTTGCCTGCATCTGTACTTTTTTCATTCCCCTGTATCTCTGTGGAGTTATGAAGACTAGGGCTGTCCAAAGAGTTCAAATGACACAAGGACAGCTTCCAGATTTTTGTTCTTTGTTCCTTTTCCCCTATCTGTAGTGCTTCTTTTTCTGCTTTATATTCTTTACTAATTCTAAACTGGTCTTTTCTTGCTGTGATAGCTTGTTTTGTGTTGAGGGCTAACAGAGGAACAAGTGTGACACAGCCTAGACATTTATTTGGATTGAGGATTTTCTGTGCTTTCTTGACACAAATGATACAACCTTCCGGAGCCAGCAGTCAGACTTGCAGCTCCATTTTCTTCCAACATGTTATCCAAATCTGTACTCTCTGCTAAAAATTCATGTGTACAGCACTCTTCCAAATGCAGTATGACATGTTTCCTCTGAGGATACAGATTTGTCACAGAATGAACAAAAAGACCAGCTTTTTATTTTTCAGTCTTCCTGCCTGCCTCTCCCCATTGCTTTTGCAAGCTCTGTCTCTCTTGTATTGCTTTTGAGACTGGTTTTCACAGGAGAGCAGCTGTGTCTCCTTGTCTTGCATATACACTGTGATAGTCTTTGTTCAGAAAAATTTTCAGCCCTTTCAGACGCTGCTGGAGCAAACCTAAAAAGCAGCACTGGCAGTGAAAACTACCTGGTTTCTGTTACAGAGAGCCAAATGCTGCAGTTTTATCAGCTCATGCAAAGTAGTAGTAGTTAAATACTCCATCAAATTTGACAACAAGCACTTTACCTTCCCACACCTAAAAAGAAAGGTCATCTTTCTGCCAAAATGAAAGGTGATAGCGATGGAGTGGTGGATATCTGTTACTCTTTGATGCTCTGTTTTGTCTGCTGATTCCTCACACTTCAGTTTGTAGCCTCCTGTTCTCTCTATCTTGACATTCATGTTCAAGAAGGGTGAGTTAGATCCAACATTCATCAAGAGAGGAGGTGCAGGGCTACCTTTAGCTCTGGTAAAGAGGACCAGCTAACTCAAGAATGCTGGAAAAGTATTCATACCAATCAGGGAGGGAAATGCAGAGGGACACTTTTGGGATGAGCAGGCAGTGAGGACTGTGATATCTTAACTTCTGAGATGAAGCTCAGAAGGTTTATGAATAAGATTGTCTGTCTGACCTGATGCCTTGCAGGCATCAGGTTCATTGACCTGAAGTAGACTCTTTCAGAGTTCTCCTTATTTTCTTAAATAGATTATGATAATCAGAAACGTAGAATCATTTAGGTTAGTTTGTAAGGTGCTCACTATGAACTCCTTTCATGGTAGGTATGACTGAAACACTGATATAAAATTATCTGATTCCTAAAATACTTTTGGGCTCATGTTGTACTTTAGCAATCACTGCTGTAAAGCTTTGGTAAACCAGCAGGCTTTTCATCTGATTAATCTACTTTGACTGCTTACAACCTGCATTGATTAAAATGGATAAATTGCTGTGAGATCATCAACACTGATTAAAAATGAAAAGAGCTGATTATCTTGGAGTATGCCAAAACCTGTATCCAGCAGTATCTGAGGGAAAGTAAAAATTTACCTAGTTTTAGCATTGATATTCAGAGAGCTTCAGTCCTGCAAAGAGATGTTTCTGTTTTTTGGAGGAGAAGCAGGAGGAAGGCAACCAGCAGGATGTCAAAAAGAAAACACACATACTCACAGAAAGCGTTTGAAGAGTAGCAGATGATGCTGAACTGTAAAGGTTTATATGTAGCTCTTATTTTTGTGGGAAGAAACCTCTACTATTTATCTGAATGATGTATTGGAATTAGTTACATACCTCCTAGAATCATGCACTCTCTTTTCCCTGTTGTATACTCAGTACTTAGCCATAGCCCTGCCATAAGGTACCAAGCGACTGTATCTCTTGTTCCTACTTCCTTTTTTTAGCCTTTTTCTTCCTCTCTTAGCATCTTCCCCCCACATCCCTCAAGAAAGTATCATATGGTGCTTGCTTTAAGTCTTTAAGAAACCTTTAAGGCTATTTTGTTACTATTTTAAAACATTAGAGATAGGGAAACTCCCAAGAATGTAGAGGAGCACTGGGGAACACACAAGAGTTACTTGTGTTTGTGCAAAGCTAATGAAACTTAGACTGTCTCTCACAAGTATTTTTCTGGTATTTGATTTCTGAGACACTGATTTCTTCTCAATCCAGATACAGTCTGACTGGTTTGTTCCCAGACACTAATGACACTGGAGTTCAAATACATTCATAATACCTTTTTGAAAAGAGAAAAATAGTTAGAGCTTCCCAGGTCATGGGATGCACCTGCACTTACATTCTGAAATGCTCTTTTCCATGGGAGGTTTTTAATTTAGTGATAACAAAGTAGCTCCTGCCAAATCTTTCTTCACGCTGAAGCCCAGTCTTATCTCAGATTACATGATGTCTCTTTTGATTTTTTTTTCCACCTTAGAGATTTTCTTAGGGCTTGAAAGTTGATGTCAGTTTAAAAAGGAATGGGATTTGGAGAGAAAGAAGAGGGAACAGAGTAATCTCTGGGACTGTCAGATGTTGCAGATTACTTAGAAATCCATCAAATGTTTACATCATCTCTGGTAAACTCATTAATGGAGTATCTGTGCAGAGAACAGACTCAAGTGATCTCAAGAGGAAGTTTTCAGTGGCTATGTAAAGTGAGAGAGAAGAGGGGAACTTGAAAATTGAGAAAATGTAAGGAGGTTTAAATGTTTTTTAAAATCAAAAATAGTACACGTAAATTATATTTTCTTCCTTCAAAGCTGTAAATGCAAGCACTTTCTGGACTTTAGCAAGTACAAGTAATTTTGGAAAGACAGGACTAAAATACGTATGAACAAGTAGCTGAAACTGTGGGTATACCTATTTTTCAGCAGGTTAAAAAATACAGAAAGCCTTGTTCTGGAGTTGTAGATTCTCACAAGAATGATTCAGATTACTCAGAAATAAAACACACTGGAAATAATTGTAAGCACCGTGGTACAATTTATACATGTTTGGGTGAAACAATTTTTGATCAGCCTGTCTTTGTTTTCAGCTAGAAAATGGATGTATTTAAAATAAAATGTCTATGTTCATTCTTTCTAGGAAAAATTATTAATGAATCATTTATTTTGTGTTGATTCAATTCAAGCGTATTTTAAACAAAAACAGATCAAGATACAATTATTTCTTATGAAATAATCATATACCACAAACTTCCTTTCCTGAAAACTTCACCTAGATGTGTTTATTTTACACACCTATCCCTCAAAACAGCCTGATCTGATGCAAATATTGTCACCCTTTTACAATATACAGAGGTAGAGCTCTTCACTTGAACTTGATTTATGTTGGTACATGCTTACACTGAAATACGATCAAACCTTTAAAACGTTAATTTTGCTGCAAGGATTATATCCTTCCTGCTGTCTCTTTATTAAAAGATATTTCTCTTGCTATGAGATTCTTTGAGGGGGGAAAAAGCTCCAAAACTTTAAATAGAAATAGTATGTTCTTCTTTGAAGTTGAAGTTCATGCTCAAGAACTGAATTTTGGAAGTTCAAGGAACTTCCTTACTCTCTGTGAGAGGCTGTTGTTACTTTGTTCGTTGCTTCTCCTTTTGCTGGGCTGGGCTAAAGCAGAGGTGAGAAGTGTTTTGGGACCCTGTGCACCACTGAAAGAAGAGGTTCCCAGTAAATGATGGAGAATTGCATTATGGTTTGTGTCTGGGCTTTTGAGTAATGCAGGCTGTGTGCTTCCCCAGTCTCAACTTGGGCTGAAAGGCTACTGGTCTGGCTTTGATTTTATATGCAGACAAAGGCAGTATTTTACAGGGTAAGGTGCATTAGGCTCACTCCTACTAACCTGAGGTATAATTAATCAATTCTTTACTTTGTTTTTATAGATTTGTTCGGACCGTGCTACCGTTTTCTCAGGAATTTCAGAGAGATAAGCAGCCTAATGCTCAGCCGCAGTATCTTTATGGATCAAAGGTTGGATTTAATTCCCTTTACATTTATAGTTTGCTCATGTTTAAAGATATCTCTTTTGATTGTAGAAATTGTGGAATATGAAAGTTATTAAAAATGGACTCAGATACATTTTGTGAGTATTTTAAATTCAAGATAGGCTTTTTTTCAGACTTTGCTGTGAAGCTCACCATATGTTTCAGCCGAAGTGCAAGTGATTAGTCTGATGGTTAGTCTTATCTGACACAGCTAAAAATAAGCCCTTCTCTCAACCACCTTACATTGCACAGTTGCTGATAGTGGCAGAGCAGACTCAAAGAAAAGATTAATTGGTCATCTGGTGAAGTGACAACAAGAGCACAGCTGCTCCCTTGTTGCAGTGATGAAGACTGTGATGGCAGGAGAAAAGGTAACAGATAGGAAAAACTGTTTCACATGTTATCTGACATGAAAGGAACATAGATTCTGACCATCTTAAACTCCATACCAGGATATCAGATCCATGATACCATCCTATCAGATACCAAGCTGCTGAAATTATTTCCAAAAATAATGTAGCATTTCTTTGGCATCTTCAACCCAAAGACCTCAAAGCTCTTGTGATGAACTTGGCCTTCTGGGCATCTCATCTCCTTTATTAGCATCGTCTTTCGTGCTTTGCAGATTAGGAGTGCCTAGAAGGTTTATGTAGGTTTTCAATAGAAGCCTACATGATACCCAGTCACTTACTCTGTGCCTCAAGGCAATGCCAAATACTGAGTTTGGAAAGTAGCTTTTGTGGGAGAGAAGTTGAGAGAGTGCTTGTTACAATAGAATAAATAGTCATGGGCTTTCATGCAGCTACGCAAGTGAGGAGAGTTAGCCTGTATTCACAGGACCAATGCTATGCTCATCTGTGCAGTATTGTATGTTGGAGGGATAGATTTATTCTCCCTTGTCACTGCAGATTTTTTTTCTCATGCTTCAGAATTATTACCTGAGTCTTAAAGACAGATAAAGGCTTAGCATGTTGACATATATCTGCATTTTTAATATCCAGTCAGAAATCTTGGTCTACTTCCAGCAGTAAAAACCAGCAGTGGAATCTTCAGCAAATCATTTGAGAATATTTAACAAGATGTCACTTTTATTTTTGCATTGTTTTCTTGAGTATCAGGGAGGCAAAATGAAAATATGGAAAAGGTAAATAAAAATATAAGGATCAAATTGGAGAATTGTTGACTAAAAAAGTGTTTTAAAATTTTGTACTCTGTTATCTTTGTAATTGATACAAGTGCTCTGTGTCATTTTCATGTCTAGCTACTTTCATTATCTAGCACCTATTTAAACATGAGCATAATTAGTCCGTATCTTGCTATTATTTTCTGCACATCATATTGTAGTTATACTGTGCAATCTCTGTGATTTGCCCAGCAAGCTCATTTTTGAGAGCTGAAAAGGTGGCTCAGAAGTTACAGATTTCAGTCCTAATATATCTGCTGCATCTGTAAAACTTTCATGCTTTTAAAATGTAAAGGAGGTGGAAAAGAGTTCACATGTCTTTAATGTGGAATGTAACAGCTGATTGTCTGGTACTGTGAATAGTGTTTTTATATAATTGTTCTCCAACAGGGAACAGTAAATTATAGGAAAGTGGGATTTTCTTATACTAGAGTTATTGTGTTCCTTACTATTTTAGGAATTTACCAGATGCAGTGTAAAGAGCAAAAAGCCCACTGAATTTAGTAGAGATTGTTGACTTAATTTATCTAAGTGATGATGCAGTGGGGTGGGTGACAGAGGATTAACTGGGGAACCGTTTTATTATCAGTCAGGTTACATCATTAAAATGAGTTTAGTAATCTTTCCTCTGAGAGCTATGCATTGTAAGAAATCTGTTTGCTTTTCTATATGAGCAGCAGCAATCGAGGGGCTTCTTAGATGCATTTCTGGAAGAAGTTTGATAAGTAGATATGCCTATATTAGCAAGTATTTCTGACTCTAGTTTTATTTTTTTACAAAAGCACATGTATATTTTTGAGAGTATTTTAAAATTTAGGATATCTGAATGGAATATTAGGAGGACATATCTACTGTATATAGGAAGTAACAGATTCTTACATGATACAGGCTATACATTCTAGGATGGAGAGTTAGACTGGATGGTCTTTAAGGTCTCTTCCGACCCAAACCATTCTATGATTCTATGATAATTGTATGATATTATTCTGTGTACTATATAGCCGGGCTTGTCACAGAGCACATCCTTGTTTGGGTACTTTAGCAGTTATATTGTTGAATTGCCTCCTGACTGGATAACAGTGGGGTATGGAGTAGCTATGTATTTTGTATTTTATTGTCTTTTTTGAGTTCTCAAACTACTCAAGATATTCGGGTGAACACTTTGCATTGATCATATAGCCAAGGAATATGACTTTTTATTTTCCTTATTGGACTTCTTTGTTGTTGCTTGGTTTGGGGTTTTTTGTTTGGTTTTCTTTTTTTTCAGCAATCCATGAAGTTTATTTAGGTCAAGAGCATTGTGGTTTCTTGCATATGTACGCTCTTACATGTGTGTATTGGACTGTAACGACTAAACACTTTCTGTGCAGAAGCTTTGCACAACCAGTGTGCTTGCTTAAGAGTAATTAAATAAATTGTTAGTTTTGATCTCAAAGGATTCACATATTCTCAGATATTTCTAAATGAATTTGGATATATTATGTTTTTATACTCAGCATAGACGTTTGTGTCCACATTCTCTGTTGCATCTAAAGTTTTCTGGGTGGTATCTTCATCCAGTTAGCCAAACAGAAACTCACGGATACAACTTACTTCTGGTGGCTGGCATGGGAGCAGAGCTGTCAGGTGGGAAGGAGCTGACCTGCCAAAGCTCATCAGCCTTTTAAGTGAGCTGGAGTATTTTAAAAGCTCATCGAGAATGGTCGTTGAAATCCCTTTACTCAGGTGAAGTGTGCATAGGATTAATGAAATCAATGTTAGCAGACTGAAATTTGGCAACATGGGCTGGATGCTTAAAATACTTAATAATGTGCATATAAGAAAGAGTCTTTTCTGGGGATTTGAAACTATCTAATTAGTGCACATTAAACACCTTGGGTGGAATGGATTTATGTTTAGATGAGGTAAATCCCATTCCTGGGAGCCCTTCCGTGGCAGCTCCTTGCCTTCTCAATCTGTTACATAGAAAAAGCCACATGTATATATGTGTTTGTGCATCAATAATAATCTTCAGTAGGCAAATTGCCTCAAAACTGCTTTGAGTCTGAACTGCTCCGTATTCTCAGTGTGGTATATACATGTGTGTATTACATATAAATGCATGTAAATATATGTATTGGACTGCCTTAAAACACATATAAAGAAACAGTGATATAGAGAAATAAACAGGTTTTTAAGGGCCCAAGATATTGGCAGAGATGAGAATGTGTCTCTTGGCTCCATCCCTTTAACATTACACTCACCTTTTCTCTCTTTATGAAATCCTAGTCAGAGAATTGTTAAATTTTATTACAAGATAATTTTAAAGCATTTTTTCCTGCCCCTGCTACCCAGCTGCCCCTTTCTGGCAGTAAACCTGTAGTGCTGTCTTTTCAGAGAGTTTTTCGGTATCTTTTTCATGAAATACCTTAAGTTGAAACAGGAGTAAACTTGTCATCTTCACAGTTTATTTAAGAATGGTGTATAAGACAAAGAAAAACACATCAGCCAGAGGAAATGCTTTGGGAAGGGTGGAGAACACATTGCTGACTTCACACAATAAAGATGCCTTTTGAAGTGTTTTCTGAAAGTAATATTTGCCCCCATTCAGCACACGTTTCTGCGTGTCGTACCTATCCTAGTAGAAAAAAGTAAAGATGACTCATTGAACTTACACCAGCTCACATCTTCCTAGCAGTGTGAGAGCTGACATCTTTCACAAGTTGTGGGAAACGTTGTCAAAATAGAGTAGCTGAGAATACCCACTGCCTACTGCGAAATATTTACTGGGTGCTCACTCGTCAAAACTGTGCACCCCTTCGGCTTCCCAGGTACAGCAGCAAGGGATGGCAGCTGCCCAGCCAGCAGCTCTCCAGCCTTTACTGGTACAACATAGCAGTGTCCACAAGAGCTGACTTTATGCATATTTTCATATCAATAGCAGCATAAAATGCCTGCAGTCGCAGTGTATCTCCATCTTTTTTGAAATACCGTCTTATACAGCAATACTAAGATTTATTATGTTTTTATGGAACACAGATGCACTTAGAACATTTAAAACAAGGTGACTTATACACACGTAAACCAGACAAGATGGGTCGTGTTTTGAGGGTGAACAGATTTCTGTCCAAAGAGCCTTTCTGGGTACTTTGCCGTGAAGTTCAAGGCAGAGTGAGATAATCAGCAGATTTAATTGTTACAAAAATAAAATGTGTTTTGGCATGGTTTTACTTCCTTGCCCCTTGGTTACACAAAATGTACTCTGTGGTTGGACAGAAACTTGCAGTTGGTGAATGGGTTTTATCATTAAAACTGAATGGGAAAGAGAGAAGGAAGGGCAGGGAGTTGCTTCTCTGAACTCTGTTTCCTTTACAGGGAGTCACTTGCCTGTGGAGCAGAAGGTGGCCTGTGGTGGGTGCAAAAGAGTGCAAAACATGATAACCCAGGATATTTCCTTAGTTTCATTGGAAGTGTCCTTACAGAGTCGTTGTCTTGCTTATGTTTTTAGATCGAGGGGAAATTTCAAAAACAGGTAAAAATATACCATTAAAATCCTGGTGAGTTTAGTTTATGTGCTGAGATTGACCTCATCCAGCTGGGAGCTATGGAGAGCACCGTGGTCGGTAAAGTGAATAGCCTGGGTGTAGTAGTTTGTAGTGAGTAGTTTGAAAAGCGGTCTGAATTGTGGGGGTAAAACTCACACAGGCAAACTTGTGGTATATATTCAGTTGCAGTCTGGGTTGCCATATGAAAACTTTTTACTCAGTTTTAATTTATGCTATTAAACAAAAAAAAGGCTCTTGGTCACTTTCGAGTAATTTTTATACTTGTTTGCTGGTTTAGACTAAAGAAAAGCAACCCCCAAAAATCCCCTCAAGATGTAAACCGGTTATTTGCTACATGCTTAATTTTTAAATAACAGAGTGTGGCTGAAGCACTCACTTTTTGGGAATTTGAACCTCTGGCTGCGTATGAGCTGTCGGAAGGGGATGTGACATGGGAGGTACAACCAGGAGCACTGCGGTGAGCTGTTGGAGCTTCCCAGTGTGAGCACTGACAACACACACAGCGTGCTTGAAGTAGTTGGGATGTCGTACGTAGTAAAAGTCTCCTCCTTGACAAAAGGTTTCTAATTCATAGCAGAGTGCTGCCCTGTTGCTGGCACTCGTTCCTGGCTTTTGGAAGTTGGCATGGCGGGCTCCTTGCACACTGAGGGATTCACTATGATTGTGGCCAGTTGGATGCCACCTGGATGCTTTTCCTCGGTGTCCTGCATCAGTTGGCTCTGCCTGCCAAGCTCCTCTGAGGCGCGGGCTGCACTTTTGGTCCAGGCCTTCCCATCGTCTTGTTCACAGGTCCCGTTTTGCCCTTGCAAGCGCTCACGTCTCCTGCGGCACAGGATGTGCAGGCAGCCATAGAGGAGGATCGCGGCGATGATGAGGAGCAGGACGCTGCTGGTGAGCCAGATGCCCAGCGCCAGCTCTTTCTTGGTGTTGTTCACGGATGCCGGGTCCCGTTCCAGCGTGTTAAAAACCCTGCACTGGTCGCTGGAGGGGTTGGCGGACTGGCAGGTCACGCACACGATGTAGGTTGTCAGTGGAGTCAGGTTTTCAACAACAAAGGAGGAGCGACTGGTGGGCACCCTCTCCTCCTTCTGAAAGTTCTTTCTTGAGTAACTTGATAGCATGGTGTTCCAGTTTGGGTGGTACATGACGCTGTAAAAGCTGTCAACGCAACTGGCCATTTTTGGCCAAATTACCATTGCCGTGTTTCCTGTGATGTTTTGGACCGTTATTCCCATCGGGATGTTGCTTAGGTAGGTTTTTTTCTCTCCCGATGGTGATCTCGCTGTGGAAAAGGGAGATGTTGGTTTCCCAGAGAGGTAACTGAGAAGTTACAACACTGGAGATGTCACGTGGATCTTAATCGTAGTGCTCTGTAATTTAGGAAATTACTTTATTAGGAAACTATGCTCTTATTTTTGGTACTGCTGCATCAAAGTGAGAGTTGGCTGCTCATAAAGTTTGGAGTATTTTAAACTGTGTACTTTTTTCCCCCCAAGTGAGAGGCTAGATATATGCTTATAGAAATTCAACCAGAGCCACTGCCTGTCCAGGTGATCAGTTGTATCTTGTCTCCGTGAGATGCTGTATTTTGCAGAATTTGCAATTGGGGAACCACTTCTATTCACAGGTTTGGTTTTCTTTCAGACATCTGTCTACTTGCAATGGGGAATGCGGGGATGCTGCCCCTCGGCATCCCATTCAAAATTTGCCCCTGTGTCACCTTTGGTATACGTGCTGCCTAGATATTCGGACAATCCCTAGAACATAGTCACTGGATATTTTTGTCATAGGGAATTTGTGGGTAGGTGACCTTAAGGGAAACAAAACCTCTTCAAGACTATAAAGGGGAGAAGTGAATATGTTTTGTACTTCTGAAATATATATATATA